CACACACACACACACACACACACACACACACACACACACACACACACAAATGTTTATTTGTTTTCTTTAAAAACGTCTGGTTCACTCATCAGCCGGACGGAAGTCATCCATGGGCCGGATGTGGCCCACGTGCAGCCAGTTGCCCATTCCTGCAATAGATCCATCCATGCATTATCTTAACCTGCTTCTTCCTTTCAGGGTCATRTGGGTCACTGTTGAATACAATATTTTGTTATTTGGTCAAAGTAATTTAGAAAAGTCTAAGAGTTTGCTAAATCCAGGGCATAAATTAGAAGGAAAAGCCTATTTTATGACAGATTATATTAAATGACATTATTGTGGATTTTTATTAAAGCTGGGTTTGTTGTCAGCTGAAGGACTGAGAGCAAATCAAAACAAATCTCTGAAAAGTATACATGATGTACCGCTGAATCAGTTTTATGGAAACAAGACAACCATTGTGCTTTTGTAGCTTCTCCTGATTTATGTGTTAATCTCAGCGCTGCCTCTGTGTAGGGGAGGGTGTTCCTGAAAGAGGTCAGGGGGACAAAAAGAAGGGACTGAACGAGTGGGGAGCGGGGAAGGTAAAGATCCTTCACCTCTTCTTGCTCAAATACAAGCCTCCTTGAGCAAACACAGAAATCTCGAGCGATTCTGACAGTCTGTAAGTCATTCCATCCTTATTTGCCGACTGTCATGCATACACGTATAGAAGTTCAAATAAGTTCGGGCTGGGTGGGGGGCTGAAACTTTCAGGGTTCTGTCAACTCACAATGATCCTGTTTGTTTGACTGCACTCGTGTGTCAAAGTGTTTACCTTCTCAAGTCATTTGACTCCAATTACTTATCAGCGGATGTGTTTATCCAGGAGTGGTGGGCCTCTATCTGTTTACTCTGCATCTTTATGACTTGAAACACCCCATCCAGGGTGCAAATCAGCCCCTGACAGCTGCCACTGCGAGGCATCGTGTAGATAGTGACCTCTGCTGCACAGAGCATTGTGAGGCAAATACAACACAAGAAGCTTACAGAGAACCAAAAAACCAATGAAGTGAAACGGTGTGTGTGTGTGTGTGTGTGTTTTTGAGGCCTCGGACAAGACTGAGCAAGCACGCACAGGATATTGCAGACAAACACTTTTTGTAGCAACACATTGCTGTTGTCTTGAAATCAAGCTTTCTGCGTTAGGAAACATCCGATTTATGTTTCTGAAAACTTTGCCCTCAACTCTCAGCAACACGGCTGTTCCTGTTGTTGAATGTGTCGGTTTATGTCGGTGCAACTTCCTGTTGCCGTCGTTTTGTTTGCCTGTTTTGTTTTGTTGCAGGGCTGAGCAGTGGCAGAAGCGGTTTACGCTGTAAGGGCGTGAATGCGCGTGTTTGTGTGTGTGTTGTGTTCCCAGCTTGAACAGTTTGTAGGTACAGACTTGTCTTTAGCTGCGAGGCTCGACGGATTCGATTCACTCCCGGATATTTCAGGCTCTAAGGCGGTGTTGTAGATACTGCTCGCACAATTCATAGTTCTCAGTTTTCCAACACTAAAACTTCACTTCCTGCTCAGACATTCCAGGTGACGCTGTGTTTGTGTCAATGAGAATGATGCTTAAAGTGATTATTGCCTTCTGTTTATTATCACTCATCTCCAAAGGCAAGCAATATTCGTGTGTGTGTGTGTGTGTGTGTGTGTGTGTGTGTGTGTGTGTGTGTGTGTGTGTGTGTGTACTGTTAGCAAAATATCTCATGAATTACTTAATTTATTTAATTAATACTCCCATAAATTAATAATTGGATACACAACTATAATCATTTAAATTCTGGAGTCGTTTCAGTTCAAGATGGCCACCACAGCCAATTAGTTTTAGTCTGCACAAAAATTGTGCAAATATTAAGCTAAACGTTAGCATGGTAGTAGCTGAGAGTTATCCCCAAGACATACTCAAAGCACTAARAGATCATGCATGATATTGCACAAAAAAAGCATTTTCAAAGTTTAACCAAAATGGCTGTAGCTCYATCATTTTTCAACATAAGATGATCTTAGTCTCAGTGGGTGCTTTACTTTGAAATTGTAATTACGTACAAAAAGCTGAGCAAAAAGATGAATTAAGCAGTGTAAAGATTATGCAGCAATATTTTTTTTCAGAATGCACAGATCAAAATGTTCTAGTGCTCCCTTCCTGTTTTATTTTGTCAAGTTGCTTTTTTTTCAGTCTTGTTTTGAAACCATCACACCTGTTCAACGGTCCAAGACTTTTTTTTGCACAAGTTTTTATTTCGCCCTTGAGTTAACCAGCTCCTCACTGTATTTCAGTTTCTCTCATTAACTTTCCTCTATGAGAAAATAAACAACGTCCTTTAAAACATGGCAGTTTTTTTTACTGAGCTTTATTTAGTGTTTCTTCTTTGCGTCAGATGACTTTAGTTTGTGCAGTATTAACATGAAACTCCCTTTACGGTAAGTGAAAGCCGAATTACGACCTGATTTGTGGTATTTCTTGTAAACAGGATGGGGCAATGGACTCATCAGATGGCGGATGAGCGTACCTCATCTGAACAGCAGGAGAGGACAGGAAGTGGAGATGAGAAATAAACAAGAGGTCGATCTGAGAGAGCAGCAGCAGCTGGTTGATGTGTTTTTGCCCGTTCCTAGACGAATACATCACTGATTAAAGACTCATGCACTGTCATTCTTCCACTGTTTGTATCCATCGTAAAACACCATCACGTTTTTCTTTTCTTTTCTAAAACACTCGCACAGACTTCCCTTTAGTTATGAGTAATGACACAAACATGCTGATGTTRTACATTTGCACTTGGATTACTAAAGCTAATCAATGTTTTTGGTCGTTACATTAGACAAAGTTGTCCTTTTGTGCCGTTTATAGTTTAAAAAAAATCTTCACATCACTTCAAATGGAGCTGAATCACAGACAGTTGTTTTCCTGTGAGGCTCAGGTCACGTCAGTGTAACTGGATGCACACACACAAACACACACCAGTATCAGKCAGTGAGAAATTATTTGTTCCAACTGAGTTACAACAAGGAGGAATGATAACTCAACCCAATTTGTTGCTGTGGTGATCAAGTTTTCTGTTTAGTGTTTTTTCCCCTCTTCTTGTAATCAGTTCTGATTTGGATTATACTTTTTTGTAGAAAAATGTTCTCTCGTCTGTTCATTCTCCATCTGTTAATTCTTAAATTCCTCCTCTGTCACACCTGGGCTGCATTTGCAATCATCAAACGTCTTTCTTTATTTCATTTACCTCCTTCTGCATTTAAAAGGCCTTCCTTTATCTATCAGATCTTTGTGTCACCACAGTGTTTCTTCTTCGAACTGCAGCTCTGCTCTGACTTCACCTGCAGCAGTAACAAACGGGAAACAAATTGAGGCATATTTTTGACTTTCTTAGTGGTCGGACAAAAATAGAAGTCTTTTTCAAACCTTGTTGGGTTTTTTTCCCTGCGTAGCAACTGCAGAAAACTGTAGAAAACTTGGCGTCTGAGAGCGAATGTGAAGTTATGGTTTTCCGTTTGTGCCTTTTCTTGTYTCTTGTTTATTTAACTGATGCTCCTTTTCCGAAAGCCCAACAGAGCAGCGTGTGTGCCTGCAGGGCAGCGATGTCACCCTGACTCTGCTTGTTAAAGAGAACATCCAAATAAATAAGCTCAGTTAAAAACAACAAAATGACAATTATAATTGGAATTAAACACCAGAATTATATAATTAGATTATAACTTTTGTTTTTATCTCAGGGAAGCACAAGAAGCAGTTGTTTAATCAAGTTTCTTCACAGCAAGAAGGACACCAGTTTAAATCTTGCATATTAATTTAGCTKTTTTATTCTTTTAGCCGCTGTTTGGCAAATTTAAAATTTTAGCTACTGTTTTGCTAACATTCACTTAGAATTAATGTTTTGCTCTTTTTAAATTTCAGTTAATATTTTACTAATTTACACCTGTAGCTGTTTGCTTGCATTAGCCTACAACTAACTGTAGTTCTGCTGATTTTAGTTTTTAACTAATAGTATTTTTCAAAATTTACTTTTAGTTATTGTTTTACTGGCATCGGTTTATATTTACTGTTCTGCCAATTAGAACTTTTAGCTAATGTTTTGGTCATTTTTGTTTTTTGCTAATTTTAACTTTTAGCTACTATTTTGCTAACATTAGCTAATGATTTCTGTTTAGCTTATTTTAGCTTTTAGCTAATGTTTAGCTAGTTTTTTTCTTTTTGCTAATTTTAACTTTTAGCTACTATTTTGCTATCATTAGCTAATGATTTATGTTTAGCCAATTTTAGCTTTTAGCTAATGTTTAGCTTATAATTGCTGTTTTGCTAATTTTAGCCAATGTTTTGAAATTTTAACTTACAGTCCCTGTTTTGCAAATTTTGGCTTTTAGCTACTGTTTTGCTAATTTAAATTTTGCTTTGAMAAATTGAAATTTAACAGCTCAGTTTCAGCTTTTTCACAGATTTCAGGAGTCTTTCACACACAGCATTTCCCTACTTGTTCACAGAAAAATGCTACTTTTATGTTTCTTTTCTAATGATCAGTTCCAGACTCATGTTTGGTTTTTCATGACCCACAGAAGAGAACATTGCTTTGCATAATATTTATTTTTGTTTAAGCATAGATCATGTGATCTGAGATGTTTTCCCAAGATTTCTTACAGTAAAATATTGCAATGATTTTTCCTCTCTGGTGTTTTTCAGCTCGATCATCCAGCGCTAGACTGAGGAGAACAGAGCGGGAAACATCCGGCATCACCAGTCCCAGTAAGTAGATTGTGTCTCTGTTTATATGAATCTGTTCATTCATCTTGTTTTTCCCATGCAAACATTAAACATCAATAAATACACAATGCATGTGTATTTACTCTGCACAACATCTGAGCTTTGGCTCTGACTCTTCAGAGGATAAATGAAAACTAAAACAATTTGTAAAGGACAACTTACAGTAAGTTATTCAAGATACTCTGTAGACTGGTACAGTGGTACAGTGACACAGTGGTATAGTCACCACAGAAGAGTGACACAGTGGTACAGTGACAATGACACCGTGACACAGTGGTATAGTCACATAGTGGTACAGTGACACAATGGTACAGTGGTATAGTCACATAGTGACACAGTGGTATAGTCACATAGTGGTACAGTGACACAGTGGTACAGTGGTATAGTCACATAGTGGTACAGTGACACAGTGGTACAGTGGTACAATGACACAGTGGTACAATGACACAGTGGTACAGTGACAC